TATATAATGGATATAATAAAAAATATTTTTAATATATACAATATATATATAATATTTTATTTAATATATTTTATATAATGTATATATATATATATACAATATTTTCAATATATATAATATATATTTCATATATTATGTATAAAATAAATGATATATATAATTTATACAGCATATAATATATATATATATATCATATTTTATATCATATATATAATATTAAATGTATAAAATTATTTATATGATATAAAAAATATATATATATATAATTCAATATATATATAATATAATATATATATAATATATTTAATATAATATATCATATATAATATGTATAATATATAATATATATAATATAGATAATATATAACATGTATAATATACAAATTATTTAGTATGTATAATATACATACGTATATATTTTTTCAAATAATACATATTATTATATCTAAGATAAATATATACTTATTAATATATAATAGGACGTGTTTTTTTGAACTGATCGTTTTTTTTTTGAACTGGTTCTGGTATTTTAACTATAATGTATAGAATATATATATATATTATAGTATATATATAATATATTGGAAAATTTTGTATATTACATATATGTATATATTATTTTCATATGTATATTATTTGCATATATATAAAATCAAAAATATAATATACTATATGTATATATATATATTATATTATCTTTAATATATATAACATATACCATACATATTATATTTTATATAAATCATATATATAGTATACTTAATAAAATATAATATACTATAATATGATATATTTTGATATCATATACTATATTTTTAACATATATATATATACAAAACACGCATATATATATTATATTATATATATATTATATTATATATATTTATATTATATTATATATATAATATTATATATATAATATTATATATATAATATTATATATATAATATTATATATATTATATTATATATATATTATATTATATTATATATATATTATATTATATATATTATGTACATATCTACAGATTGGGGGGTATACTATGATCTACTTTACATGATTTTTGGGGCACGATCATAGACTTCCATTTCTGATTCGATATTATATAATTATATCATTATATCATGGTGATAATTCCAATTATTGAGTTACTTAATTGAGCAAATGGATCACCAAAAAAGGACTCAACACTTGACATCAACGGACATCGCTGAAAAAACAGGTCTCTGGCGTTCCTGTGGCTGTTCAGATTGAGGCCCGGACATCGGAAGAAAAAACTCTGGCAGTGCCATGACATGAAATGTGGCTGTGTTTCAAATGTGGCCTATCCATGCATATCCTCCTTTTACCCACATTTGTGGTATATGCAATTTTTTTGTGGCCAACAGTTGAGGAACCGTTGAGAAACTCATCCAACGCCTGCTTCAGGCGGTGGTCCGAAGCGAGTTCTTGCAGTTCAAAAGCATCGCTGCGGAGCTCGCCCAGGTGACTGATGGTTAAGGGTCAAAAACCAGGTACTGTATCTGGATGGTACCCTAAGTCATAGCTGGTGAATGGATTGTGATTCCCCGCAGTATGGTAATTTCATAGGTTGTGACCCATCCACAAATAGATACCTAAGGGAAACACCCGGTTTACCGTACATCCCAGGGGTTGGAACCACACTACCAGCCTCCTGGAAGGCTGGAGAGCGCATCGAGCAGTTGCGGGACGCAGCAGTGCGAACACGAGGCGATGTTCAGATTTTTGGTTTTCAAGTAGTTTTAAATACCGTCAAAGATTAATACGGGGTAACTAGGGTATAGAATATTATGGTTTTGTCAGATTATGAGTTTTCAACTGTTTGGCCCTTATCTCTGCGCTACTTGCAGCTTTTGTTGCACAGAGTCCTTTGCCGAAATGAAAGTGTGGCAAATGGTGTTCTTGGAAACTTGCAACATCTTTGCAGGTGTACCCGTGGGTATGCGCAAGCCTCAAGGGAGCGTGTTTTTGTCCAAGTCACTCCCGGTGCATTCATTTCCAGCAGCATCATTGCTTTTGGTTAAAAATCAGGCACAATCAAAAACCCAGAAATCCATGGTTCTCATCACTTTCCCCATTGAAATGGCCATTATTGGGTGTAGATTCCATTTTCAGACCCCATCTCTATCATCCATTGATAAAATTTCAATTTTTGGATTGTTAACCCCATTTTTTTTTGAAAATTATGGTTAATGATGGTTAGTGATGGTTATTTTCATCCATTAATGATGGTTAACGCCCAAAATTTTCATGACATCCCTGTAGTTGATGGCTATTTAACTTCCCACTCACCGAGGCTCGCGAGGCCAGCTGAGGACGAAAGCCAGCGGCTGGTGGGGCAGCTCAAAAAAAATCACGGCCTGGTTGATGGTTTTGAATTTTTTGGATATATGATATATATGTAAAAGTATACATAAATGGAAAAAACAATAGTAACAGTATATATGTATACATGTATATCTAGAATGATACAATTACGGTCAGGCGCTGTGTGTAGCCCGGAAGGTTCAAATGGCGTTTAAACATGTTTAAACATTATCCTTCAACATGCTCAAACACCTGCGCAGGGCCAGTGTTTTGAGATTTCCCAGACGACGAACCCTAAACCCTAAAACCCTAAACCATCCTAAACCCTAAAACCCCAAACCCTAAACCCCTAAACCCTAAAACCTAGGCTCTGAAAACTTTGACTTTGAATCCTAAACCGGAAAACACTGCGTATACACAGTATTTTCTGCAATCTCTCCTATCATATATTCGACAGCACGACATTCTCAATGTTAATGTCTGGGCAACACACGGCGTCTGTGGGTACAATTATGTTTTACATTCTTATACATATGTATATATATATATATATGATATTGCTTCAAAATCCAAGAAGGGTGTTGATCCCAATCGACAGATTTGCATCGATGGGAGTTTTCGGGTCACCAAGGCGGCGGCACGCAACAACCTCGCTGGAATGGCAAGGATCCCGGGATGATCCTGGGAGTAAATGAGTAAATGCTTAGAGTTTCGCCTTGGTAACGTTCCAGTATTATTGTAATTACTATATATACAGAATCACTGTGTATATATATATATATATGTATATATATTATAGATATGGATAAATAATGATATATATATATAATATAATATAATATAATATAATATAATATAATATAATATAACATAATATAATATAATATAATATAATATAATATATAATAATTATACATATCTAGATATCACAGCAACAAGGGATTTATAAACCAGCAAACACGAAGCATGTACCAACTTCTCGGATCATCTGACCGTGCAAGTACCCCAGCCCCACCAAGGGTGGAACCTTGCTGGGCCCATTGGCCATGAGCACGTCCTGCCGGCGAAATGGAAACACGTGCTGTGGAATATATGATACATGGCTGATGCAGAGGCAAGTGAACAGCTGATGATTCTTATTTCGAGCTTTCCACAGTCTTTGTGAATGTCCCACCCTTGCCCCTTGCCAGGATCAATCCTGCCTTGATGGGCTGTGGTGGCTGTGGTGGCTGTGGTGGCTGTGGTTTCTCGGCGCAAATCAGCCAGACTTGATGCCCGAAGAATGAAGTGTTCCCTTTCTTGTCCGGCTGTCAGGCATGCTTGGACCAGGTGGCAGCCTCAACAACTAGAGTGGCAAGTAGCAAGTCATTCAGTACTGCTCAATCAAGAACTTGGGAGCATAGCAGAATGGAATTGTGCCGATGCAAGATGAAAGAGCTCGACCAAGGTGCAAACCCTGGTATGATGGGTGTCAACACAGGAGGAGGGCTCTTTGGTGCCAATACAGGTGGAGGACTGTTTGGTGGAAACACGGGAGGAGGAATGTTTGGAGCAAACACCGGTGGAGGGCTGTTTGGTGGAAACACAGGAGGAGGAATGTTTGGAGCAAACACTGGTGGAGGGCTGTTTGGTGGAAACACAGGAGGAGGACTGTTTGGTGCAAACACTGGTGGAGGACTGTTTGGTGGAAACACAGGAGGCGGAATGTTCGGAGCAAACACTGGCGGAGGACTGTTTGGTGGAAACACAGGAGGAGGAATGTTTGGAGCAAACACCGGTGGAGGACTGTTTGGTGGAAACACAGGGGGAGGAATGTTTGGAGCAAACACCGGCGGAGGACTGTTTGGTGGAAACACAGGAGGAGGAATGTTTGGAGCAAACACCGGTGGAGGGCTGTTTGGTGGAAACACAGGAGGAGGAATGTTTGGAGCAAACACCGGTGGAGGACTGTTTGGTGGAAACACAGGAGGAGGAATGTTTGGAGCAAACACCGGTGGAGGACTGTTTGGTGGAAACACAGGAGGAGGAATGTTTGGAGCAAACACCGGTGGAGGACTGTTTGGTGGAAACACAGGAGGAGGAATGTTTGGAGCAAACACCGGTGGAGGACTCTTTGGTGGAAACACAGGAGGAGGAATGTTTGGAGCAAACACCGGCGGAGGACTGTTTGGTGGAAACACAGGAGGAGGAATGTTTGGAGCAAACACCGGTGGAGGATTGTTCGGTGCCAACACTGGTGGAGGCCTGTTCTGAAAGTGGCGCTGAAACAAGGCTTGCCACCAAGTAGTTGACGAAGGATGTGCTGCTGAAAATAGATGAGTCGCAACGGCAATTGACTTTTTGATTTCACTAGCAGAATCTTCAGACTTTTGTTTGGTTTTCATCAATAAAATGTGAGGATGCATACTAACCAGCAAAAAAACACTTTTTTTTTTTGCAGGGCATCTAAGATTGGTTTTTCTAAAGCAACGGGAATGGGGGTCCTGCGAGCTGGTGTTGGGCCTGGCTGAGGTTGGGTCAGCAGCATAAACACCTGGGTTTGTCTGCAAATGGGTCTCATTACCGCCAATTAAATGGCATGGTTAGTCATCATATTTCCTATTATGAAAACAACACTAATCATGTAATCCCTTCCCTCCTAGCCTTAAATACAACGCACACACACAAAACCTTTTTTTTTTTTGTATTGTATCTGTTGAATCATTATTATCCCATCATCCCATTATCATCCCACTATTATCTCATTGTCATCTGATTATGGGATGGGATTATAGACAATCATAGAGTATCCCCCACATTTTTGGACAGCTGCCTGCTGTGTTTCCAAACGGCCCATGCTGTCCGTTGGCTTCAGCGTCCCGTCCTAGCACAGTGGGTTGTGTGGACGGCGGACGTTCGAGGCGAAGCTGCCAGTGGTTGGATGACCAAAGGACCATACCCCATTGCCATGTTTTGACCACGGGGGGACTTTGTTGGTGTTCTTTGCTTCATATATGCGTGATGTGTGTATATATATATATATATGCATGTATACATAATTATATATATATATACATAGAGATTCAACATGCACACCCACACTCGTACGCGCACTCTCTCTCTCCCTCTCTCTCTCTCTCTACAAATAAAGGTGCATAGAATCATAGACACACACACATACACTCAAAACACACATATATATATATACACATACATAGACATATACATATACGTATACGTATACATATACATATCTATACAGTATACATATACATATACATATACATATACATAAACATGCGCATATACGGATACGTATACGTATGTATGTAATGTGATATAATGTAATGTAATGTCATGTATTGCATTGCATTGTATTGTGTCGTTTTGTGTTGTGTTGTATTGCAATGTATGTATTGTGGCAAACCCAATAATAAACCATCCCCCAAATCACGATTTTAATAGGTTGCATCCCCAAATGGTAGCTTAATGGCATTGGGTTTCCCACGTTACCAAAACTGGCAAAAATTGGGATTGAATTGTAAACCTACCAATGATGTATATATATGTACGTATACAAAATATGATATATATATATCCATTGTATCCCATTATTTACATATGCACATAGCTGAATGAACAATACTCTTTCAATCCATCATTGATCCAAAGGTTCGGAAACGGAGATGGCCTTCGATAGCGATGGCTCAGCTCTGTGCAAATCTCAGCGGTACTAGTCGATACCCAATGGGATAATCAAACATGGCTGGCTGGGAAATCCCCGAACTATGGCTGGAGGTGTTTAATGGGAAAATCACCGAATTCGCCGGTGGGGGTGGAATTTTCCTGCAAACCATGTTTGATTTCAGCAGGGTAACAATGGACATTGGTGGACATTAATGGCTAATGGTGATGGTAAATGGGTATGGAACTTGAATGAATTAGATTTTTTTCTGGTCGTCATGGATATTCTTGTAGCTGGGAAGTCGATGTGACTAGCTGGTTCAGAACTGGGGTTCTTGGAACAGGAACCCAGCCGCGAAGCCCAGCTGGTTTCACCGACAAGCACTAGCTATCCGACCAAACTTTGGATGTTATACAGATGTGCTCATAACCTTGTTTTGTGCATTTGATTGGAATTCAGTTTTATGCAAATTGTAAAGTCAAAATCATATGGCAAAGCCGACCCCTATTGACCCAGGCATTGGCAATTCCTTGGAGGATTATCCCAGTTAGGATTGGTACCCCATGAGAAAAATTGGCTTGCAACCCCAGTTACTGTAAACAAATCGCTTATGAAGTGCCTCTCCAGATCTGCGCGAACCTGGTGCCCCAGGTTTGAACATAATAGCCCTGGTTGTCATCGGCTCAGCGTTGTGAAGCTTTATTCATTAGTCACGCCCAGCAACCGGATAAAATAGGACCGTTCAACCGTTTTATGGCCATTTAGTGGATGTTTTTATGTGGGGGAATCTGATTAAAAACTTGGCCATTCAGGAAGGATTGCTGGAAATCGTTGGAATGCCATGGAATCCTGGAAACTCATCAAGACATTTATGAACCATGGATCATAGTGGGCAGATTTCTGTTGTTAATGGGAATTATTGACATTATGACATCACTGTTCAACTTTTTTCTGTTGTTAGATTTCTTCAAGGGCAGTTGGAATGGCTTTCGAATGGTTCCAACTTTTTAGGCATGTGCCTTCCAATACCACTGCCAACTCCAATGGACCCAGAAATGGTGGCGTCTATTCAGTCACCCCAATTTTGAGAGTTTTGAATATCAGCCCACTCGTGGTTGAGTTGAGCTCCTAAGGGTGAAGTTTGACCAAGAGCTAGTTGTCACCCCTCAAAATGGACCATTGGGCCTCTGAGATGCCGCAGACTCGAAGAGCAATGGCACTGCGGAGGCAATGGTTGAACCAATGGACTGGGATTTCCGCAGCAAAAAAACCGGGGGATTTTGGACGGTCTCAATTTATCTAGTGCAAAATCTGGAGTTCAGCCAGATTTCGATGAGGTTCCATTTTGGATCATTGTGGCCCAAAATGGGAGATTTTCATTTGCATACCGGTTGTTTTCAGCCCCGGCCGAATTTTGTGGAGGCTTTGGGCTTGCTGGGTGAGGACGCTCAGTATGGGGTGGCTTGAGCTCCACATGTGGCAAGATGCTGTGGCAGTGGTCGAGGTCGCGAGAGCAATGTCCCTCGCATCTACCAGGCTGCGCAGACCTACAGAGGCCTCACTGTTTTCATCGCCGCTTTGCGGTACATTCCGTTCCTGAAAAAGCAAGTGGGATCAAGAAGCAAGGCTGAGGAAGCAAGGATGTACTGAAAATGAATCGGATGTCGCAGGTGTCGCAAGAGAACTGCTCGGTAGAAAGGCCACCGGGGTGTGCGAGATATCTCAAAAAGCAGCAGGTCACGCAGTAGTGAGATCCTCGTGGTTGCTAGTTTTTGCACATATGTGCCATGGTAAAAACATGGGTTACTTTCTCATAACCAGGGGATGGCCATCCACCCATTCATTTGGGTCAACATGAGTCAACATACCCATTAGAATCATTAATGAAAAGCGAAGGAATTACAAATGACGATGGAATTGTCCTATTTCGTCCGATGATTTGCCCAGCTATAAACCTCACACCTATGGGATTTCTCCCTGAATTTGCCATGTTTTCGCAGGCTTAGCCATGATTTTCCGTTTTTTAACGTTTTTAACCTCCATTTCGTTCGAGGATTTCCCATGATTTCCCATGTTTGAAACCCACCGGGATGACTATAGGACCCAGACGCAGTGCCGCGAGATGTGATGCATCGAGTTGTGTCTACACAACAGGAGCACTCCGAGCACTCCGAGTGCCCAGAATTGGTTGAATGAAGGATGTTGAAGGAAACATCTGGAGGATATTTTCATATATTTTCACCATGTCTGAGGCTTCATGGAGAAACAACAGATCCCTTCAATCGTCATGGTGGATGATGCCATGGTGAGTGCCCAGGAGAGATTTTATGGCTGCCTGCGAGGAGCCCAGGAGTTTGTTTCCACTGCAATGCCATCGTGAAATGGATGATTTACCCTCTGGTAATTTAACATAGCTATTGAAAATGGCTATAGAAATAGTGGATTTTCCCATTAAAAATGGTGATTTTCCATAGTTATGTAAACGTTTACCAGAGGGTACCCACAAAAACTATCGACACATTGGATAAATCATCCATCTGTCCATCTGGGTCAAAACCATGGGGATTTCTTGGGTGCTCTCTGGTAAACCAACATAACCATGGAAAATCGCCATTTTTCAGGGGCAAATCATCCATTCCGTGGGGATTTTCAATAGCTTTTTGTATGTTTACCGAAGGGTAGCCACAATGTGAAGGGTCTCGTCACCCTCCACCCCACGGTGTCGATGCCAAGGTCCTTGCCAGGCAACCTGGTCTTCTTCCTGCTTTTCTCTGTAGCTGTCAGCGACCCAGCAGTGAGCAGAAATTTCTCGGAGATTTAAACCATGGTTTTAACCAATTTAAACCATGAAACATGGTGAACAGGGAATTTACAAAAACGGTTTAACATGGTTTAACGGTTTAACCGTCCAAACATGGGAATAAAAATGGGAATTTCATCAAGGATATGGGTGTGTCTGAAAATGGGGTACACCTCCGAAAAACAGCACAGGAGCACAGGGAAAATTATGATGCATCATGGATTTTGGGGTAGCCCATTTTCAGGCAAACTCACGTATTTTCTTTGTGTCGTTATTATGATTATTATCATTATTGTTCTTACCGCTACAAAAACATATGATTGTTCTTATTCTTGCGATGGTGAATTTCTATGCTATAGGCTATAGTTCAAGAGCTCGCTATTGATGTCACCTCATTTTTCGTGACGTGAGGTGATCCTGCACGAGGATATCACAAACACCTACATGATCGAGCCCCTTGGGAGCATTGGGCCATGACCATGGCCACCCAAACCAAGCCGTTTCCTGGAAAATTGCCAAGGAATATCGAGACAACATTGTTTGATAGAGAATCTAGGTTTCAGTCTTGATATTCATTCTTTTTGACAACACTACATATGTATATATATATATATGTAGATATAGGTGTGTGTGTATATATATATATATATCTGTATATCCATACATACACAAATGAATGATGACTGAGTATGATTTTTATGGACGTTAACGTATTTTGGCTGGTGATAAAACCATCATGTGATGTCTCACGAATTCATATCTCGATTTTCCTCGATGTTCGAACCCGTCTCATCATTTTTGGTTTCTCCGAGGTCTGGTCTTCGCACACATCTCTCCGAGGGTGCAGAGGAAATGAACGACAGAGCAGGGATCTGGAATTGGTCGCAGCCTGAGAACCACCATCTCCGGCCACTCTCCGGCAGGGGTTGGGTAAACCATCCTGGGGCCTTTGGACCACTGGCTTTTTGCAGGTTGGAGTCGTCGCTCATGTTTCGGGCTCAGGAGTTCACGTGGAATGACAGTGGCACTGTTTTCCTATGGCAGGTGATGGTCATAGGAAATGGTCCAAACTATCTTTGTAGATTGTAGAGGGAAATTCCTTCTGGTGGTGAGACAATACTTCATTGACATATTCACAGATGAAAGTACAGCAGCAATTCGCTGATTTTGATGGGAACAAGTCAAACTTGGGTTTTCAAGTTTGGATACTGGAAAACTGACTAAAACATACTAAACCACTAAAACAACTTAAACATTTGCAGGGCGCCGGGGGACCAGAATTCTTCTCCCAAGCAGTGTTTTGGGTTAGCTAGATTGGTACCATCCATAAAACTAAACAAACTACCCTGGTTATTTAACATAGCCATGGAAAATGGCCCATTTATAGATGGTTTACCTATCAAAAATGGTGATTTTCCATGGCTATGTTAAATAACCAGATGGTAATGTAAGGAACATCCACCATTGATCACGTTTCTCCATCATGTTTCAATGGATCGATGGGAACATCTATGGGATTTTCCATGGGATTTTCCGACCATCTCCATGTTCGTTTTCCAGACGATCCCACCGTTTTTTGGGCGAGGCCGAAACTCTTTGCCCAGACCGACCCTCTGGGACTGCCGTATGCCAGCAAGACAGAGCCTGGAACTCAAGTCTCAACCTGGGTTTGTCCAAATATAAAAAATATGGTCATTTGGGGAGTATGTAACAGTATGTAGCATATTTGCATAGCCACATGATTTTCCTGATGCTGATGTGGCACCCCTTGGGGGGTCAAAAGCATCCGTAAGGACACCCCAACCATTGGTACCCCATTCCCCACTCTCACCGTCAAGTGATTTTCAGGTGGAGTCGAGTGCTAACCTACAACCAGCTTGTAGGCAGTGGCACGTCAGATCGTGTCAGCCAGTGAAATTGTGGGATTTCATTCTGAATTTTAATCCATTCCCCCAGACATAAAAAATAACTAGCCTGGTTGAGTATCAGATATTAACTATACTAAATTAACTACCCTCATTTAAGTATTGGGTGTATTCATTTTGGCCGACATGGCTAAGGGATCACTCGCCCATCTCAAAAAGGGCACTGGAACAGGCCCTGCCGTCATAGCCCAGCAGCGCAGCAACAGGCCAAGAACTCAGCGCGATGCAACAGGGGCACCCTCTGGTCATCGAACATAGCCGTGGAAAATCACCATTTTGAATAGGTAAATCATGGTAAATCATTGAAAATCATTGTAAATCAGGGGCCTGTTTCCATATGTTAAATTACGAGAGGGTACCTTTTCAAGATACTCAAGAGTTTTCGGGTGGCTAAATGGCAGGTAGGGCTTTGATGGGATGGGTGATTGCCAGTTTACCACTTCATGGCGGTAGAAAAGGCTGGGTGTCCCCGGTTCTTTCCCCTGATCCAATGCGATGAGTTCGGCTCAGGGTGTGGTGCAACGATGGCGAGGGGGTCTCTGGAGACATGTGCGCACCATTTCCGATGCGCCAACGAAATCTGAACATTCTGAACATTCACACGCGTACAAGTTCATACAAGTTCTACAAGCGTACATTCTTCAAGTTCTTCAAGTTCTTCAGTGCGTACAGGTACTGTTACGACCAGTTCACACGCTCCAACGCCGAATTTGGTTCACAGGACATGGTGGCGCTGGGCACAGAGAGGTCTGAGGTATCCTTGAAGGGATCAAGATATATATCAAGATCCCCAGATAGGAAAATTGGATAAGATTGGTATTACAGTGATATTACAGTGATATTACAGTAATTATTGGGTTTTCTGCGCTTTGCCCAGGACGTTTTGACAATAGCCGCGCCAACCAGCAGCGAGTATGCTGGTGGGACTAGCACGTGAGGGCCTCAACCTGGGTAAACCGTGGTCTGGCAGGTCAAAAAATCATTTATTGGCTGCAGGCTATAATAAATGACCCAGAGATCAGGGTATCTATCTAAAATTAGCCATGCTATTGATGGGGTTCCATGGGGTTCCACAACAAAATCTCAAGAAGACGCCATTTAAAGATCTGCGAACATGAAAAGATCACCACTTGAACCTTGCCATTTTTCATGGGATTTTCATGGGATTTTGGGCAGATACCATCCCCCGTTCAAGTCATCGGCCCTGAAACGGTGCGTTTAGGATCGCTGAGAGAAGAGCTTACTGGGCCCGAAGCTAAGAGAACTGGAGATCAGCTTTTTCAAGATCCGGCCAGATTGTTTTGGATGGAACAAGGAATTTTATGGGGATAGTTCATATATATATATACACGTATATATGATAGAATTATATAAATAACAAATAACCAACAACAAGATTATTTTGAAATGATGGTGATAAAAATGAAGGTATTCATCCATGCAAAAATGGTTTGACCAATGAATTATGGATATGGGTGTGTCAGAAATGGGATACACCCTCGAATAGCAATTTTAATAGGGAATACACGATGATAAATTAATGAATAATGGATCGACAAATCCATAGTATTATGAACTGTTTCATTCAACATCCCAATTCATTCACTGACTCAATGTTGGGATGACTACTACTACTACTACTACTACTACTACTACTACTACTACTACTACTACTACTACTACCCTACGTATGAAGGTTTTGGACCAATATAGACCAATCTCCAGACTTTTTGCGAGGACTCGGCTTTCAAAGTTCAGAACAGTCGAAGGTGTACTGGGCGCAGGGTGAAAAAGAGGGAGGAAATCGTGCCGGGAAGGTAACACTTTCTATTCGAAAATTCATTACAGATGAAGATTTTTCCAGTCCATCTTAGGTTGCTGAAGGGTGGTCCTTCTTGTTTGGAGACTCGTGGCAAAGGAATTTGAATCGGTTTTCTCCGCAGTCAAACTTCGGGCACAGATGCGTTTCGGTGTTTGTTAGGTGTCACTCCACCAATCATACCATCGACTTTGTGTCAGGCTAGCCAGAACGATTCGGCCGGAATTTGACATCATGCCTCAGCCTTAGGATCGGGTTTGTCAATAGCGCAGGCCCTAAAGGTTACCCAAAATCCAGTGGTTAAAAAAAAACATATCTCCCTGTTTCCCCAAGTACCCAAAAACATCCAATTAATTATGTTAATCATCATATCATGTGCATATTTCCAATTAAGTTTCCATACAAAGGGGGGTATTGGCATATCCCCATGACCGCGAGGCTCCCCAGGGTGCAGAAGGAGGATAATTTTGTGGTGGCGATCCATCCCAACACGCCGTACAATCTCACAGAGCAGCACTTAAACTATGTGAAGCAACGAGAATGGCTGGATGCCACAGCCTCAGCTGAGACTGTCGAGATTTTGTCGAGATTTATGGGTTCTTATTGTTCTTGTTCTTGTTCTTCTTGTTCTTCTTGTTCTTCTTGTTCTTCTTGTTGTTCTTCTTCTTCTTCTTCTTGTTGTTGTTGTTGTTGTTGTTGTTCTTGTTCTTGTTGTTGTTGTTGTTGTTGGTTGTTGTTGGTTGTTGTTGGTTGTTGTTGGTTGTTGTTGGTTGTTGTTGGTTGTTGTTGGTTGTTGTTGGTTGTTGTTGTTGTTGTTGTTGGTTGTTGTTGTCGTTGTTGTGGTTGTCGTGGTTGTTGGTTGTTGGTTGTTGGTTGTTGTTTGTTGTTGTTGTTGCTGTTGCTGCTGCTGCTGTTGGTGTTGTTGTTGTTGTTGTTGCTGTTGTTGTTGTTGTTGTTGTGGTTGTTGTGGTTGTTGTGGTTGGCTGTTGTTGTTGTTGTTGTTGGTGGTTGTTGGTTGTTGTTGGTAAGGACCCCGCGAGGGCGTCGCGGAGTGTTGTCGTTTTTTCATGTTTACGTCATTTTCGAAGCATCCATTTCATTCCACGTTCTACACTGTTTTCTTGCGCGCCGTTGCATTTTCTGCGCTTTTTGCTGTGTTTCGTGACGCCCTTGCGGTGATAGTTGCGTGTTGGCATGCCAGGGTTTGTTCGGGGGGGTGGGATGTGGTGGGGGGGTGGGGTGGGGTGGGGGTGGGGTGTGGGGTGGGGTGGGGGGGGGGGGGGTGGGGGGGTGTTGGGGGGGGGCTAATAACGTTCTTGTTTGTTAACGTTCCTGCATCTTCGTTCTTGACACGCTTTTCACTTTTGCAAGTCACGGTTTGACACGCGGTCTATGTTTCGGTTTTGATATGTTGACGTTGGTGTCCGGTGGCGTGAGGGCATGGGGTTGGGTTTGGGGGGGATTAGAACGTTCACGTTAACCAGCGTACTTGCAACTACTTCCTTACACGCATTTCTTCTTTGCAATTCATATCATCATCATCTTCAACATCATCATCGTTATCAACATAAACATCATCATTAACATCATCATCAACATGATCATCATCACTATCGACATCATCATTATCATCATCATGATCAACATTCTCGTCATCATTATCAACATCATCATCACCATCATCATCATGATTATCAACATGATCATCAACATGATCATCATCATTATCATCATCATCAATTGCTTCGGTGAGGTAAAAAAAGTTACTTCGGAGACCCCTTTTGGAAGATGCATTTTTAAAAAAAATCACGAAATGCAGGTTTTAAAGGCGTCGTGCGTTAAAAAACGCGCGACGCCTAGAAGGGGACCTTCCCTTGTTGTTGGTTGTTGGTTGTTGTTGTTGTTGTTGCTGCTGCTGCTGTTGTTGTTGTTGTGGTTGTGGTTGTCGTTGTCGTTGTTGTTGTTGTTGTTGTTGTGGTTGTTGTTGTTGTTGTTGTTGTTGTTGTTGTTGTTGTTGTTGTTGTTGTTGTTGTTGTTGTATCTGAACAAAGTGATGGATTGGTGATCCAAACGTCAGTGGTAAAACTGATCAGTGACCTGAGCAACGCTGAGAACTACGCAACGTGTTTTTTCATTTTTTTGGCCTTCCCGTGAACTCCGTCAATGTCAGCGAGTAGTTTCTGGTGCCTGGTGCCTGAGGCACACACAAAGCTCGTGAACATCCGGGCTTTGCTTGTCAATGCTGAAGTTGGGAGGCTGCGGTAGCCAGGAGCTTTACCTTGCTCCTTGCAGATGATTTTCCCCACGGCCTACCCGGCCTACCCGGCCTACCCGGCCTACCCGGCCTACCCCCATGGCGACAGGCCGCGTCTCCAGATGTTCTCTTTCAACATCGCCGGGGTGCACATTTTGTGACGGTTCAAACCTCTGTCCCAAAATTCCTGGGACAGTGAACTGGAATGTTCATGAATGTTCTGGATTTATCCATTTTGGTCGATTCAAAAAATGATGACGGGGATTTCTTATGATTGGTGGGACTGAATCCCTTTCATCAGCATTAATCTGATTGCAGTGGTTGTTGAGTCAATCTGTTGACTGAAAGGAGGGTACTGCAAAATGTCATGGATCATCATTTTCCCCAAACATTTCAATGGCCATAGTTTGGGACATCCCAGCCCTGTTCCATTCTTCATGGTTTTTCCATCACCGTGACATCTCCATTTCGGCTGGTTGCGCAGTTTGGAGAACCCCCTGGATCCAGAGATTAGGCCTTCAGCCGCGGTGGTGGTCTCTTCACCTACGTGAAGCTGGGAGCTGAATGGCTAAGCATCGCTACGGATGATCGTTGGAACAGCCCAAAACAACAACGAACGGTACTTTAGCACTATTCACGAAAGCTAGCGTCAGCTAGCTGGAGTCTTCTTGCTTTAGCAAGTATTGGGGGGGCTGCTCAAGGACATCACGTGATTTTTCACGCGAAAGGGGGCCCCCCCCCTCCCCCACCACCACCACCATCACCACCATCATCATCATCATCATCGTCATCATCATCGTCATCATCATCGTCATCATCATCGTCATCATCATCGTCATCGTCCTCTCCATCGTCCTCGTCCTCGTCCTCGTCCGCGTCCTCGTCATCATCGTCATCATCATCATCATCGTCATCATCGTCGTCCTCGTCATCGTCATCGTCATCGTCATCGTCATCATCATCGTCATCATCATCATCATCAGCATCCTCGTCATCATCATTATCTATCTATCTATCTATCTATCTATCTATCTATCTATCTATCTATCTATCTATCTATCTATCTATCTATCTATCTATCTATCTATCTATTCTATCATCGTCATCATCATCGTCATCATCATCGTCATCGTCCTCTCCATCGTCCTCGTCCTCGTCCTCGTCATCCTCGTCATCGTCATCATCATCCATCGTCATCGTCATCGTCATCGTCCATCGTCATCATCATCATCATCATCATCATCATCATCATTCATCATTCATCATTCATCATTCATCATTCATCATCATCATCATCATCATCGTTATTCAATTACATTTTATCATTATTGGCAATTATTGTCATTATCACGAAAGCTAGCGTCAGCTCGCTAGAGTCTTCTTGCTTTAGCACGTATTCCGGGGCTCCCCAAGGACATCACGTGATTTTTCCCGCGAAAGGGCCCCCCCTGCCCCCTCCCCCATATATATCATTGTTATATATCATATATCAATATATCATTGTTGCATCCTCGTTGGGACGAACAATGCCGCGACACGATGATGACAGTCCCTCCGCAACTCACCTCTTCCCTTCCTTCTTTCTCCTACCCCGCTAGCTTTCGTCATCCACCCCCGGCCTCAAGTTCAGATTATCTTGGTGAGTTTTTTTTAGGGTGGGTTGCTAATATTGAATCCCCAATATTTGCAGTTAATATGAGGGGTACCATTTAATTGGAATCAGGATTGGGAAAACATGATATTATTATGTTTGAGATCCCCTTCTCAATATAAACTGGAGGATTATCAATCTGGGGTCAACATAGCGAATGGTCACCGCCCATGAATCACAAGGGTAATGTACACAGAAACACATGCTTTCACAGCAATCTGTAGAATCCCCAAGGGCAGATGATCGTGCCCCATCAAGATCCGCCCGGTTTCAGTAACTTGCTGGTAGGGATCAGCACATCGATGAGGATGAATACCATTTTCCTGAAATCGTTTCCAGACGTGCTGGCCTCAGTATTGGATAGTATTGGAAGGGAGAGCCCTTTGGGCCACAAATCACCATCTGGTGATGCACCGACATCTGGAAAATCTGCGGAAAATCAATGGACATCCAACATCTCTGAAAATGGTCATGTTGAGGGCTTGCTTCTGCATTCCCACCGAAGATTTCGCATCGTTTCACGATGCGAAATCCGACTGCGCAGGTTGCGACGATTGTGGTAGATATCCTATTTTGCACCCATCTTTTCATCATTTTCGTGTCTCTGCCTCAGTCACTGGTACTGTTGCTGGTGGCCGAGAAAGGGCGGACTGGATTGTGGAACAACAGTGAAAGGTTGGAGGATCCAACGCTTTGTTTTTTTTCCCAAAGTGAACACTTTGAAAACTGTTGGATGGCAATTGCACGATTAAAATCTGGACGTGAAGCAGCTAAAATCTGGACTTGCAGCAGTGTGCAGCGTCCATAGCTTGGTTCACCCAGGGTAGAGTTGTACCGACTGGGCCGCTCAGTTGGTCGCAGAGAGGCACGGCACAAAAATTGGCGCCACTCCTGTATCCCAAAAACTCATATTGAGGAGTGATCATCATGATCATCTAAGTGACCCTTGTCTGCCCTTGTCGAAATCAAGCTTTTCCAAGGATGTAATCAGTGGTTGGTGCGTTTATGGCTATGGGATGCGCCCAATTCGTAGTCATTACATGTGATGCGGAGGGGATTTTTTTCGGCGCAGGCACGCCGGCATATGAGAAAAGGCTGGACCATCCTACAGGCCCTCACTATCAGCTTGGGGCTTAGCTTAGTTGAGCTACGTGAGCTGCACTGGTTGATGTTGGTTAATGCTGGTTGCTGGTTGATGCTGATTTCTAGCATCCTTCTCTTGATCACAGTGGCGCGCAGACGATTTTTTTGGGGGATCCCTTAATGTACGAAACGATCATGGCTCCACTGCTATTTGGATCGCCATGGGATCCACGAGATCTGCCGAAGCTCGAATGTTTGAATCCAACCGCCCCCCAGTTGGTGGTGTCTGCGTGATCGCTGGCTACTGCTACGAGTTCACTCTTCGTCAGGGGCTTGTGAGGGTGATTCATGGCGCAAACAAATCGGATGTGGTTCAGATATGTTCAGATGCCCTAAGGGGTGTCATCATGGCAATGAGGAATCCATAGGAATCCCCTAAACATGGAGATTTTTCATGGGAAAATCGTCAATAAATGGGGGTTCAATATGGTTCAACTGAGTCAACTGTACTCTGACTTGAGATTTCCAGTCATCGCTGAGGTGATGGCGTGCGAAGAGCCTTTGAACAGGTCGCAGCAACTCAGCTTCAGGCGTGCTGGGAAGTCTTCTATCCTGATAAAGGAAGCCACGCGCAAAATGGAATCCTCGCGAGCTTACTCAACGGTGATTGGAATGTTGCTCAAAAAGTGAAAGCCTTAGATGTACCTTTCCTATTTTTTCCTTCAGGTTCCCAGTTTGAACAAGAACTTGTACCACAGACCCCCTGGTTCTCCTACAGATCGGGTTCGGCAGATTTCCTGAGACTTTCTATAGGACAATCCAGCTGATACCAGCAACAACGGCATCTCCTTGATCGAAGAGGCGCGGTGCCCCTCAAATCTGTCGGATTCCTCATGGTTGTTCGTGGTTGTTTGGTGGGTTCTCATGGCTGTCTAATGGTTTATCACAGTTTATCACCGTTTATCAGAGTTTCTGACGGCTTATCATCATTTTTCCTTTCAATTTTCATGAAATTTCGATGTTTGGGTAGCCTGCATTTTATCGAAAACCCACGTGAGCCCTAGAACCTTGGCAGGCTGACAATATGAACGAGTACATGGGCAATTTCCGGATCGTCACCGGTTTGTCCGAAGCTCATTGGGCAGATCTCTCCCCCAGTTTTTGGCTGGTTACTGGGGCCCCCCCCATGTTTGATGGGGAAACGTGGTGAACCATTTACGGTTGACCAACACCATTTTGCTTCGCAGTCAGTAAAACCTCATCAGACCTCTATTATTATTATTATTAGTTGAATTGTTTGCTAGTTGAACCATAGCAAAAACCACATTCTGAATGGCTGATGAAATCACCAGGTTTTGTTGATTCACAACACCCTCAGAATATCTAGATTCTAGATATTCTTGGTTGGTGTTTTGCGCCCTCCTCAAACTGTTTGGCTCTCCTCTGGTAATTAAACATGGCTTGCTGGAAAATCCACCGTTTGATTCGATGATGTTTGGAGGGTAAACCTTGGAAGCTCAATGGGCCTGTCTGAAAATAGTCTACCCCAAAAATAACTGATTAATGATGAGTATCACCATATATCACCATCAAACTAGAAATTCGTGGGGGGGTAGGGTATACCATGGTATACCCCATTTTCAGTCAATCCATTCATCAGAACATTCACTGGTCAAATCCACATTTTTTTAGGATGGATGAGTAACCGGGTAACCCACAAAAAATCACCATGTTGGATGGTATTTCTGAAAATCGTATGTATGTATATATATATAATATATATAATATATATATATAATATATATATATATATATAATATATAATATATATATATATAATATATATATATATAATATATATATAATATATACATATAAATAATATATATATATATATATAAATAATATATATATATTCATGTATATATATATATATTCATATATATATATATGTTTATTGCCAGCTTCGATATCCGTACTATTTCCCACTATCTGGAGATTTCCATACTCATGGGGGTACCCCAATAGCTGGATGGTTTATGATGGAAAATCCCCAACAAGAATAGATGATTTGGGGGTACCATCATTTTACATTTATACCAGTTGGTTGCTTCATCTATGCCGTTCAATCCCATTAAATAATCATTAAATGCCCCCATCATATGCCCATGCTACAGCGCGGCAATTGAGGTATTGCTTGCTGTGCATGGTGCGTTTCTTCACCAGCTTCAGTGCCCAGCCTCGCTTGGCCGTGGTCACCACCACGTTGGAGGCGCCAAGAAGCAGATTGGGGATTCAGCAACCAAAATGGGTATATTTATAAAATACGTATATATATATATAATATATATAAATACGATATACAATAATATACACACATATACGTATATAATATATATATATATACACAGTATAATTACACGTATGTAATTACATATATATATAGGTAATTTGTGCAAGTACTAAGTACATATGTATATGCTTGTACATCTATATAGCCTTGCACACTTCGGACTTTAAAAAACAGACCTCACAGTGAATGATTGACATGCAGGAAACCAAGAGGTTGTGGTCACTGGTGGGTACACGTCGATTTTATCGACATTTGGGATACGAATCACCAATCACGTCATGATCAGTATTTTCGGTTGAATCTACCCAGACAAATCATGGTACTTATAGACAGGGACAAAACTGGAATTCGACTTTGCCCAGCCAACATATGTGTAGACGATCTGAATGACCGTGATACTTTGTTTGCAGGTCAGTGCTTTCGACATTGTGCACTTTCTCATTGTTTTGGCGCCCACCTGGCTGGTCCCAGCCTGAAAATCGACGCGATGGCTGATGTCGACTTGGGGGCCCTGTGTTAGTTCCCTTGAATGATGCAGGCCTACGCATTGCCGGAGCCTCAAAGTCTCAAAGTCTCCATATCTCACATGGTGTGCCACCATGATCTATCCCTGATGAAATCTGATGGATAAAAGCCAGCACTTTCACCATGTCTTGATATGTGTTGCCACCTGAGGGCTGGCTGCTTCATTTTTGGCCGCCGGATGGAGGACAATTTAAACCATCACATGCCGCTGGTCAAAAGTGTATGTTCTGTTGATGAGCTGTGGACGCCCCAGGAGTTTGCCACCCTAGATGCATCGATCGGATATTGCTTCAAACTCATGATTGAAGGGGAGTATGGCTGGCCTGATTGGCTTGTGAAGATTCGCCTGGAATCCGCAGACATTGGTTCGCGGTGGTGGGATCATCCGGACATCGCCAGGTATGACTGGCCGTACTACGCCGAAGAGCCTGGCTCCTGGAGATTCGATCACAACATGCAATGTATGTGGCGATGAATCTGGCAACATCAGCTGCCCCAAGGAACTACTTTACCACCATGTTCTGGATGTGGACTTTCATGGTCCTTTTAAACCTGATCATGTTGAACCTTGTCCGACACCCAGATCACCCAGTGTTCAGTCTTCAAGCTGCGAAACGTTGCATTCTTCCGCCGTCTTCCGCCCATTTTGCGCAGAGCTTGCTTGAAAGGCAAACATGACAGCGGATGTATATGGATGTATCAGGTCCTTGCTATCATATTGGATGTCTATGGCTCCATTCGACGCGAAACTGGCAAGAGTGAAACTGCGTCTCCGCCTCAATCTGCCTCAATAGCTAGGGCTTACCAGACACCTCAAGCTTGTTCTCTGGCAAGGTTTCTCGTATGGGGTTGTCTCAAATGGGAGTATACCGATGGACCCCAAATGCACTGGTTTATCAATGTTGATCATGTTACAATGTTCCGCATTGAACTCATTTTGAAATCAATCTCCCCCGTCGGCCATCACACCCGAGCCACAGGTGGCTCACCCTTTGGCGTATGCTGCTGCAGCTATATCGCCGAAGAGTGTGGGTAAGAAGCGCACAACTCTTGGAGGTGAGCGACCCGGGATGGATCCCCCGCAGGGGGAGGGGTTCCAAAAAAGGGAAGTTCCTCCATTCCTGGTCAGGCGTTACCGAACATGCCGGATGAGATCAAAGAGGAGGATCTTCTGGCCACTTGGGCTGCCCTCCAGGTGATGTTGATGTATTGTACATTGTACATTGTACATATCTAATCTAATCTAAATTTACTGTAGATCTAAATCTTAATCTAAGCCTGAGTCTAAGTAATCTAAGTCCGATCTAATCGAATCAATCTATCTATCTGTCCGTTTGTCTAAAGATATTTCTTCAGATTTTGTCGCAAATTGAAGCAACTCTATCCACACTTCAGCTTCAGCCGAGGCTACTTTCCCCAACATGTGCAAAGCCAGGTTCTTAGGTGGACAAAGCAAATGGCCTGTGGCATTTTTCGCAACCTAATGCTGACTGAAGCCCACCTGTTCATTGTTTGAGTTGGTGACAGAATTAGATATATGATGATACATATATATATATATACATATATATATATATATTATGTATATTAGATTTTTATAAGTAGAAATACTGTAGTCGTCCTTGCAATGCTTGCAACTTTGAGCGAGATCACCAAATATGGCTAAGGAGCAGTTGCACATTTTGATGGAAGCCTGTTACTTTCAGGCACAATCGGTGACTGCTGTTGCAGCAGGTAGCATTGAGTACTCTATGTTTTCTCATTATTTGTGACAGTCTTGACAGAGCACGTGCTTTGAACAACCCCTTCACACACCAACAGAAATGCCTTGAAGGTTAGCATGGATGACATGGCTGCAGCCGATGGCCAAAGGCGAAGAAACCGACTTCAGTAGTTTTTTTTGGATATTGAGACTTTGAGAAACTGTCAAGATCTCTTGGTGCGAGCGCAACTTCGGCTTCATCCCACGTTTTAAGTTTTGAACCAGTTGCCCCGACAGATGTGTGTCAACTTTCATGTAGATACAGACGATGCAGAAAATTTCGATCCCAGACTAAACCGACCTCTGATGCCTTGGTCGGTTTCAGCCGATTTCTTGTGAGGGCCATGAAGATGGCACTGTCCTGTAAACTGGCCATTGATCAGGCGAAGCGCTGGAACTGGGGTACAAATCATGGGAAAAACCATGGCTGCCATGTATCTAAAAATCAGGGGGGAACACCGAAAAAAAAACCCCAAATCTCATGGTTTCGCATCATTTTCTTCCATTCAACATGAAGATTTTGGGGATATTCCCCGTTGGACAAACTCATTCCTGGACTTCCTTGGGAGATAAACCACCGGATTTGTTGGCATAGCACCAGCACGGAGGAGGAACTGATTTTTTGGATGATCATGGTGACAATTGAGCAGTGTTCAAAACCCTGGTTGGTTGATGATTATAGGGGAGTATATTACCCAATTCTTTCCTAGTTTTCTTTTTCTAAATCATTCTTAATCATCTTTTAAATCTATGATGATCGTAACACCACAATGCTGACATGGATGAGGACTACTACGACAAGACAAATTTTAATGTGGACTCTGATGGTGCTAGATGCTTATGCATATAACTGTATGTAACCAATGATATACTTTGTATATAGATACATAATGATACTTATGTAGTTAAGTCATGTACGTATGTGCATATATATATATGCACATCTATGATTCGGATCAATCTATCTATCTCTATGCATAGTACACACATGATCACACACACATGTGTCAGGTGGCCACAACAGTACAGAGCTCAGCTTCTCTGTGAAGCTTTCGGTAGTCACAGGGGGGAATTCCATGGATTGGACCCTAGTTTCAGACAGTCAAACTCCGAGGTCAAAGCACTGCATGAAGGTACCATTGAGACGGGTGGTGATGACAAGCCCGGCTCAGAATGGGCCCAGAATCCCAGGAAAAGCCATCGCTTTTCATTGCTGCAGACTCTTATGGGTTGCTGATTGCGGACTCAACGATTATATTATGTCATTATGTCAAATTATGTCTAGGTAGACACATATCATCTACATATTCTACTTTGGATGGTAAGGCTTTACTACTCGGGCTTTCAACCGGGTTGTGCCAGCGGAAGTTGCCCTTCAGCAACGGCCGAGGTGAAGAAGCTGGCGGGCGAGATGGCCGAGCAGAACCACCTCATGATGCCTGGATGCCCCAGTTGGGACCTGGCTATGATGGTTTTTTCTTAGAAATTGGGTTGAAGGATTTGAAGGATTTGAAGGATTTGAAGGATTTGAAGGATAGAATAGCCCCAAAGTTTCCAACATTTGCTAGTTGATCAATGTTGATCATCGCGAATTTGCGAATTTGCATGTTTGGACCAACTAATAACGAGTCCCATTGTTTTACTTCAAGGGTTTATAACATATATTTATCCGGCCGCGGTGTGGGACGCCCAACAGACCTACCAGATGTATGGGGATTTCGCAAAGAACAGCACTGGAACACCAACTTTTTTTAAGGATCATTAGGACACCAACACCCAAAAAATGCGAATAAGATTGTACATATTTCAACTCGCCAGAAATGCCGGGTGTTTTTTAGCAACAATTGGACTGGATTTAGCTCAGCAAAGCTATTTTATTTGACAACGAACTATCTCAGTTTCGCAGCTCCCAAACTGGTCGGTCAGGAAGTTGCAGTCGAAGCTGAAGATGGTAGAGAAGCAGTGGGAGGTCTGTCTGAGCAGTGTCGGATCTCACTTTGTGGGCATATGTAGGACAGAGGAGCGTTCCATGACACTTCAAACGTGATTTCGTGTTGTCCCAACCTGTGCCAGATCATCCTGGAAAAAGAGCCATCCTGGCATGCTGAAGATGGGGCTGCAATTTTGTGCTTGTGACTTGTAGCTGAATCACATGATGCTCACTGGATGTGACATGCCAGGGCAGAGGAACAGGAGGAGAACAATGAATAGTGAAGCCCCTCAAAGTTAGGTGCCGAACTGAGGAGTTTGAAACAAAACAGAGATGCCAAATATATCCAAATATCATATTGATTCATATTGTATCAAATGCGGAAAGTGCACGTGTTTGCAGAACCAAGCTACATTTCAAGAGAATGGAGATGCCAGTGCGACCCGGATCACCGGTTGATCGACCCTGAGTTCACCTTGAGGTGACCATCCTTAGATCCAAATGACTGGCATAGTGGGAGCCATGGCGTCAGAGCCATTGTCAGGGCGATGTCATCCACAAGAATTTTGGGGATATCAACAAGATTTGGAGACACCATTCAAGAAAACTTGGGTATACCATGGTATACCATCAGGACAACTCGGACATTGCAGCAAGAAAACTTGGGGACGTCATCAAGAAACTTGGTATTGTGCATCAAATACTGTAGACTGTAGCTAAAGCGAAGAGGAATCCAAAATTGGGGATTATATCTCATCAACATTCATCAGCCGTCAGCCCTGGCTATGCATTCTCTGAAGAGATGACGCCTGTCACACAGTTGCGACTGTGCCTCGTTGCTTGTTCGTTGGAGGTGATGATATATGAATATATATATATCATATGTCCATAGTGATCTGCATTCCCAATGAGATGATCCAACACATTCCAGCACATGTCAACATATTGTAACTTACAGACATTCGACCGTTCCCAAGCTGTTTGAGCAGCCTGAGCTGGTTTAAAAAAACCGCCGTAGTACGCCCTCGTTTGGGCATCCAGATTTCACCCTTAACGGCCTTACCGCTTGAAGCGAGCAGCAAATGTTGCTGGGGCCCGGAACCCGCCGGCTCGAGCCATGAGGCCGTAGAAATGGTGTGCCGATGTGTGCCGCGAAGATCCATTTTAATGGAAGTGTCAGAAACAACAACCACAACATCAATGGATTGGATTAGGGGAAAATTTTCAGGAAAGCCCCATATTTAATGGGAAAATCTATGGTTGCCTGTAGATTTTCCCTTAAACCAATCCATTGACAACAGGATCCTGTCCTGAGAAATGGATCTTCAATGATGTTCAAAAATATCTTCACAACACATTTCCGGCTCAAGCGTTCGCAGGTCCAGGAAATTCTGGGGTTGACCCAGGTGTGGCTGAAAATTCAAGCCCTGAAAGAAGAGTAGACACATTAGAACAACTCACATTTACATATGGGGTGTCCTAAAATGGGGGACCCCAATAGCTGGATGGTTTATAATGGAGAATCCGATCAATAATGGATGATTTGGGGGTACCCCAATCTTCCGAACCATATATTTACAAAAGAGTAGAATCCATGATTGACCCCCCAGAGATTGGATGGTTTCCTATGGCAAACGATCAATTGTGCGGGTCCGTTATCATCCTCATGCCATCGCGCTTGTCGTTCACATGACACATGGGCACTTCCTGGACTGCTTGCAGTTGCAGGTAGATGATGTCAGCTGGATGTGGTTCAAATTTATCGACCTCCAAAGTTGAATGGCTTCAGATCCCCCAGAAGTAGATGATGGGAACATTTACATTCAATCTGAAGTATTTTTTTGTTTTTTTTTGGTTAAAACTCAGACCATTGTTTCTTTTCTTAAAAACAAATTTTGTGCCTTTTTCATCAATTCCATTGAAGACGATCAATGTTCCTGTCTATTGGGCCCCCCCTTGCCATGAGGAAACCACCCATGGCCAGGCGCAGCTTGGGAGAGCCTGGAAGCCAGCTACGGCCCACACCGCAGCCGGGGTCCTGTAAGGTGGATTTGCCATCCACGGAGCTATGTTTAAGAAACAACAACAACAACAACCACCACCACCACCACCACCACCACCACCACAGCCACCACAGCCACCACAGCCACCACAGCCACCACAGCCACCACAGCCACCACAGCCCAACACCACAGCCACACACCACCACCACAGCAACCACAGCCACCACCACAGCCAACACAGCCACACCACAGCACCACAAAGCCACACACAAACAGCCACCCACAGCCACCACCACAGCCACCACAGCCACCACAGCCACAGCCGCCACCACAAGCCACACCACAGCCCACCACAGCCACCACAGCCACCACCCCAGCCACACCCCACAGCCACCCGAGCCCCCACAGCCGCCACCACAGCCACCACAGCCGCCACCACGCCACCACCAGCCGCCACCACAGCAACCACACCGCCACCCACAGCCACCACGCACCACAGCCACCAAAGCCACCACAGCCAACACAGCCACCACAGCCACCACAGCACACAGCACCACCACCACAGCCCACCAACACAGCAACACACGCCTCACAACCGCCACCACAGCCACCACACCACCACCACCACCAACACACCTTCCCTTACACACAAAAAACACAAGAAACCACCTACACGAACTTATAAAACAACACAACAACACA